AGGGAGAGGGAGAGGGAGAGAGAGAGGGAGAGGGAGAGGGAGAGCGAGCATGTGAGCCAGGGAGAGGGGCAGAGGGAGAGGGAGAATCTTATGCACGCTCTAAGCTCAGCATGGAGCCGGGCTTGATCCCACAACCCTGGGATCATGAACTAAGCTGAAATCAAGAGTTGGATGCTCAAGTGACTAAGCAACCCAGGAGCCCTTGGGAGCTACTTTAAAAGGAGTCGGGCCATGTGAGCTGGGTCTTTGAAGGCCATGTAAGAGAATGTGTAACATGCAGAGACCTGAAGGGTGTTTCCAGGAGGGAGAGAAAAGGTTATGAGAGTGCTCTGAGGCCTGGAAGACAGCACAGGCTGCTGGAAATGCAGAGGCCCTAACATGCAAATGCCTCCTCTTCCTCCCAGCCATTCATTGGACACCCAGCCCAGGGCAAGGCCTGCTGCCGTCCCGTGGCCTGGCAAGTACACCAGCTGGGTGCAGGCTGGATCCTTGCTGCTCCAGTACCGGGCGCCTGCCCGGGCATCTTCCTTAGCTGCAAGGGCAGACAGGCAAGGCTGAAGAGGAACAGGCCCACGCCTGGCCTCCTGAGAGACTCCCGTACCAACCGTGCCCACTCCAGAGAGGGCCCCGGGGTCACACCCAACAGTACAGGAGGCTGTTCTCCATGAGGCTTGGTCAAGCCTTCCGCACTGCAGCCTTAAGACAGATGCTCAACTCAGGGGCTGCTGCTCCTAAGGAACAGACTTCCCTTAAGACTTTCTGGATCTTTGCCCTTGCCATCTGGGCAGGCTTTGCTCCCCCTGCAAAGTGCCAGGCACACACAGCAGGGCACACCTTGACCTGAAGGACTGGGAAACAGGGTCTCGGCCCTGGTTGTCACTCTTCAGTGGCAAGACGTAAGACAGTTCACAACTCCAGACTGAGAATGAAGGGATGGGGGCCCTGTCAAGTCTGAAACTAGTAGAGCAAGAAGAACACTCAGAAGCACCACGAAGCACTTCAGCAGGGCAGCAAATGGCCCACTAGAGCCCTGGTGTGGGGGTGGGGGCAGCACCTCCAAGGCAAATTTGAGCCCGGCTTTCGTGGCTGGCACTTCTTTCCCAAACAGCTGTTCTCCTGATGTCCGAGGGTAAAGGTATGAAGCCCTCTGGGAGTACCACTGCTTGTAAAAATATCAACCCCTCCCCCTTCCCCAGGTGGGCTGAGTGGCGGGGGGGGGGGGGGGGGGGGGGGGGGGGGGGGGGGGGAGGGGGGGAGGGGTACCCCAGGGACTGGGAGGAAGAAACAAAGATGTTACCGAATACACATCCACTCCAGGATTTCCAAGCGGTACTTCGAGGGACTACACAGCAGTTCCTGAATGGTCTTGGGTTCTGTGATATAAAGACCCTCCAGGACCGGGCAGTTGAGGTCCTAAGCAAGGAAAGGGAAAACCAGGAAGCTTTAGAAAGTCTGACCGAAGGGCAGAGATGCACTTCTGCGCTCATGCTCTCCATGCACCTTCCCTCACACCAGGCTGGTGAGCACACGCGCTCCCTACCCCCGCGGCCGGCACGCGGCCAGCAGCGCTGCCCCTCCCACTGTCCTTCCGTCTTGCCCAGAGTTCAATTCCCCTCGTTCTCAGCCCACCTGCAGTGGCCTGCCACCCCGCCTCCTCAAGTACGCCCCCTCCGCGCAGTGTAACCTAGTAGCAACTAGGGGCTTTGACGAGATTGCGAGATTCTGATCCCGGCTCCCGGCTAGGGGACCCAAGGAAAAGTCGAGTGAGAGCTCCCGTAGCGCTGTTCTGCAGGGGACGGTGAGGGGGACCGGCTAGGGGTGGGACGGAGCAGAAGCAGGGCGTGCGGGACCCCGGCCGGCGGTCGGACCTGGTGGAGCGGGTCTCCTCCCCACGGGCACCTGACTCCCACTCGACAGGGTGACACGGACCCCGCCCGTCCGTCTCCCCCTAGACCCCGCGAGCTCCTGGAGGCCAGGGCCCGTGTCCTCCCCGCGTCTGCGCTTGCTTCATGCGCCCAGCCAGGTCCCGCAGAATTCCTGCAACACAAGTTAAGGGGCAGCACCCGCGTGGCGCCAGCCCGAACTACCAGGCACGGACCACGCAGACGGCAAGCGTGGAGGCCCAAGAAGCAGAGACAGGTGCCCCCCAGCCGCCCCTGCAGCGGGACACAGGCCGCAGCCGAGAGCTAACACAAGGGCGGGCGCGTCGCGCCGCCGACTTCCGCTGTAGGCCCTGCCCTCCCCACCGCCCGGCCGCCGCTGTCCGGGTGGCTCCCTGGGCCCGCGGCACCTTTAGCTTCGCGAACACCTCCACGGCCGCCTTGAGCACGCCGTCGTCACCCTCGTCCCGGTAGCCGCCGCCGTCCCCGCCAGCACCCAGTCCAGCCATGTTTCGCGCTCTGAATCGCGCCCCGCCCCCGCCCCCGCCCCAGCCCCAGGCTCACCGGCTGACCCAGCTGCCAATCACACCCAAAGCCCAGCGCCCGTCCCGCCCCCCGCCCCTCCCACCCTCCCCGCACCCCCATTGGGCTGTCGCTCCACGCGCGCTGTGGCACCACCCAGGAGGCCGGCCTTGGGGAAGGGGCGGGGCGCGGGCTAGCGCGGCCTGGCTCTCCGTGGCCCCCTCGCTCACGTCGCCTCTGCTAGCTGTCTGGGCGGAGGAGGCGTCCGGGCGAGCCTTCTCCGGGAGAGGGCGCTCCTGCCTTGGGCGGGTTGTCCTCTCGAGGATGGAGAGGCGCCTTGTGGGTGGGATGTAACTGGGGTTTGAGCATCCCGCTCCCCGCGCGGGGCTCTAGCTCCTGTTTCCCACGCTCACGGCTGCAGCTAGAGGGACGTTTCTTGTGCTCCAATCCGGCCCCACGACTCACTAGCTGGATCACTTTGGGCAGCCTACCCAATCTCTCCGTGCCTCCTTTTCCTCACCTAATGGGGAATGACGAGAGCGCTTACCTCATTGGGTTGCAATGAGAGAATAATTCCTCTGACGATGCCTGGCACGTACAAAGCACTGTGTAAGTGTTCACTATTATGCTGGGCCCTGCTACCGCCCCCGCCTCCTCCCCGGCTCTCTTTCATCTTCCTGGAAGGTTCTGTGGCTCCTTCCCTCCCTGTCCACTTGTAAATTTCTTAGCATCTCTCACAGCCCTCAAACTCAATGAGTCTGGCATGAAATTTCACCACCCATCTGCCCCCAGGCCTTCAACGCCCCCATCCCTGCGACTTGTTGTTCAGACGAGGCGGGCAGCTGCTGTCAGCTCCATCCTGTCCGGAGCCTCTCCCTCCTCTGTGCCCTGTCTGGCCACGTCCTGGAGAGAGGGATCAAGAGGCAAGTCTAGAGACAGGGAGACCCAGGGCCCTGACAGGACACAACTGCAGTCATCTGAGTGACAGCCAAGGGCTCTCAGCTCTGTCCCAGGAGGCGGGGGGACGCAGGAGTGTAAGTTAACAGAAAAAGACCCCAGCCCGACTTTGTGGGGCAGGGCCTGATTCCCTACTGAATGCTTTGGAATTGCAAGCTATTCTGAGGACCCAGCGCCTTGGAACTGAGCTGAAGAGACATGCAGGGCACCACAAGGCCCCTTCCCCTCTCCAGCATGGCTGCTGCCTTGGGCCCTTCTGGCAGCCGAAGGCTATAGGGGCTTTGGGTGTTTTTGTTTTTGGTTTTTTTTAATTTTTTTCCTCTTTTTGTTTTTGTTTTTCTTTCTTTCTTTTTTAAAAATTTCATTTCAATCACAGCTCCGGCTCAGACATTCAAATTCTTGTGGGTTTTTCTGTGGATCTTTCCTAGGACTGGGGAATTTGGCGGGAGAAACCACAGCAGTGTGGTGGCCTCCCCCACCCTCCCCATATCCTCTGCTCCTAAGGATCAGGAAGAAACCAGCTCCTGTGTATTCTGGAAGAAAATTCCCCTTCTCCACCCAGCCCGATGGAGCCAGTACTCTAAGCAGCCCTTCCCCAAACTCAGCAGCTCTGTCCATGGCATGGGGTGGGATGTGGAGGGGCTGGCAGGGCCTCGAAGGAAGAAAACCATCTTGAGAGGTCAAGGGGTCCATCCCCTTCCATGAGGGACGTGCTGGCTGGCCCTCAGCTCGTGGAGATGGCTGCCGAAGACACAGCAGCAGGCCGCAGCCTCCCTGTGCACACCACCGCTAAATCATGGTGCCTCCCAAGCTTCCTCCACTGGAAAGGCTGGAGGCTGGGCTGGGAACAGAGGCTACTGGGCCCCTCAGGGAGGGGGGAAAGAAGGGGCCAGCTGGTAGAAGCGTCTGGAAACTTGGACTCAAGCTCAACACAAGGAAGCACCTCTCCCAGAAGACACTGTCTAAACACTGGCTGGCTGCCTGGAAAGGGAGAGCACTCCCTGTCTTGGGAGGTGTGCAAGCCCAGAGAGGTGGGTAGGGATGTGAAAGGGTGGATAACTAGAGTAAAGAAGGAGAGTGTAGCCCTCTGAAGGGCACTCCTGCCCAAATCGCCTGTGTTCTACGAAGGAGGCTTGGGTGCATCAGGGGCCAAAAATGAGGCTGAAGGACGCATCCACCTAGGAGGGGGTTGGGTAGGGGTAGGGGGTCAGTGGAGAGTGCGGGTCCCCAGGCGGACCTAGGCACTTTGTGCAACAAGAGCCAACCTCCTGATCGTGGGGGAAACTTGGCCATGGGTCCCAGCGGGGCCTCAGCCATGTGTCAGTACTTGGAAAACAGGTTGGAAAATGAGGCCAGTTGACAGGCACTGGCCCCACTGTACCAGGGATGGGCTGGCGGGCAGTGGAGGCCAAGGCGGTCAGCCACGTGAGGCACCTCGCCTTGTGCAGTGGGCACAGAAACGTAAGCCAAGCAGATGCCCTCACCCACTGGTCTCCCTGCCCTGGGGCAGCAGCTGTTGGCGGGAGGTATGCAGGACATCTGGCAACAGGAGGGTCCGTGAGAGCATCCCCACTGCAATGTTCAAGCTGTCCTTAGCAACAGACCCCAGGGCTCAGGGGGAACCTTAACCAAGGCCCCCCTCCCCCAGCAGACACCGCCAATCACAGGAAGCTGGAGTTCAAAGGTTTGCCTCTCCATCAAGGAAGAGAAAGCAGACTGGCTTCCGCTGCATCTGACAGGGGCCGAAGGCCTTGTTCCCCAGAAACTCCTGCCCCCGAAAGAGGGGTGCCTTTGAGGGACAGAGGCCCCCTCTAACTCCCTCTCTCCTCACCCCCCTCCTCCTCCCCAGTAGGAAGAGATGGAAAGACTCCTCGCCACGTCCCCTGGTGAGCACCAAAGGCAGGCTCTTGAAGAAAAGGCAAGTGGCGAATGTGTGTGACATTTCGGAGGAAGAATTCAGTTCTTCTCCACCCCGTGGGAGAAGTAAGTGGCCGTTCCTGACTCTGGATTTGGGGGCGAAATGAGACAGGGTAACGAGGTCAGGCTGAGGATGGTCTGAGGTGCAGACTTTCCACAGGCGAGGCGAAGGCTGCCTTCTCTGCCCCTCCCTCTCCCCTTCCTCCTTCCCCAGCCTCATTCTTCTGCCCCTGACCGAGCTACCCCACCGCGCTGGGCTGTGGGTCACCGCCCACCCTCGTGCCCAGGTCTCGAAGCCAGCCCACAACATGCATGCCAGCCGGGAGCCTGCTCAAAACGAGCCGTCTTCACAGGTGGGAGGGGGGCTGGAAAACCAGAAAGTAAGGGCTTTTGCAAATGAGACCCGGAGGAGCCACAAAGACTGCAGAGACCCCAAACTGCCACATGGGCAACGAGGCCTAAAGGGCTCCTGGAACAAGGGTGATGTTGACTCTCTTTCAGGTGGCTGTCATTCACCCACCTCAGGGCCCTGGGGACTCGCCTGGCCAAGCACACACACTACTGGAGTCTAGTAAGTCCAGAGGACTCCAGAGCTGCCACTACGGGCCCGACAGATGTGAGCCTGCCACAAGTACTGGGTGGATGAGGTTGTCAACCTAGGAGCTGACTGATGACCATCCATTCGAGAATGCTGTCATTCTACACCTCTGTGTGGACACCGAGAGTCTGGCACATGAGGATGGGGAGGCTGTCCTGGGAACTTGGCATTCCTCTTCCTATCCTTTCTGGTCCCTGTGCTGGGGAAGGGACCATGGCAATAGAAGGCAGGGGCAGCTGGCTCCCTGCCCACGGGAACACTAAGGAAACCTCGGCCTGCCTTAGGCCTCCTGATTCAGAGCCTCGGCCTCACCTCCCGCTGCTGAGGGGCCCTCAGAGCCAAGGGGACGCTGGGACTTCCGAGGCCACAGCCTCCTGCAAGGGCACACTTCACATGCCTAGAACCCCGATCAGATCTCAGACTACTCCTAGGGTCTGTGAGGTCCGTCCCCTCTGCAGGCATTTCTGGGGGTGTAGATGGAGCCAGGCTGTGTATTTGGGGGGTGGAGCCATGACTCGTGAGGCTGATCCTAGCCCCCATAGATCCAGGGGTGAGAATGAACAATGTCGAGTGCGGGGGGGGGGGGGGG